TCTCCAGCCGCAGATTGGGACCTCTGGCGAGCACATTGCCACCTGCTACTGTACTGGTCACTTCTCTTACCAGGGTTACAGTATTCCTTCACTTGTTAGTGTTAATTTTCCAGTTTTCCAGAGTACATCATTGAGCTGTACATAATGTATACGGGAATAAAACAAGGAAAACGACTCAGACGCATGCAGAAGCAGACGAACCCCAGCATCTGGCTGAACGTGTGAACGTGCACTGCAGATGCCAAGCGATGACTTATTTTTATTAAGTATTGATAATTAAGCTTCTTTAATTTATATTACTCTTCCATAACATGGGCAGCCGCTCTTATACTGCCTGCAGTTTTCCTTTATATCTCATCTGCTGTTATCCTAATGCCTTTTCGGTGTATCTTGCTGTTATATCTGTTAATGACATATGCAGATGCCGAGAAGACGAAACATTAAAATTATCTTCATCAATCGACGTACCGATACTCCGCTTTACCTACACTGCACACCAGACCTACACTGCACACCAGACCTACACTGCACAGACCTACACTGCACACCAGACCTACACTGCACACCAGACCTACACTGACGTCGGACGCCAGGTTTATTGAGGACTTATGTTTGGGGACGTCGGACGCCAGGTTTATTGAGGACTTATGTTTGGGGACGTCAGACGCCAGGCTTATTGGGGACTTATGTTTGGGGACGTCGGACGCCAGGCTTATTGAAGTCTCATGTTTGGGGACGTCGGACGCCAGGCTTATTGAGGACTTATGTTTGGGGACGTCAGACGCCAGGTTTATTGAGGACTTATGTTAGGGGACGTTGGACGCCAGGCTTATTGGGGACTTATGTTTGGGGACGTCGGACGCCAGGCTTATTGAAGTCTCATGTTTGAGGACGTCGGACACCAGTCATATTGAAGTCTCATGTTTGGGGACGGTGTGCGCCAGACGGCCGCGACCCCGCGCTGATAAACACTGCGGCGCGCAGGCTAACATGAAAGTCGCAGCTTATTACTTTGTGCGTATGGTTGACCGCCTCTTCCTTTGATGGCCATTATGACTGTGATATGAATTTTCCGCCGATAGAAATGATATAACATTTCCTGATATTATTAGTGCAGTGGAGTTTCTTGTCACCTGATAAACCTGCCGGCATCGCAGAGTAACAATCAAGTGGTATTGGTTACTTTCTATTCAATATAATGGCTTTGTCTTGCGTCCGGAGTACGAAGTAGATATGAGCTTATGTTCCCAGGAAGATGGCTACTCAATGTAAGTTTCGTTATTGCCAGACATTGAGTCTACCGATCTCTCAAGCTGTCGACAAATTAATGCGTCCAAAGTCGCGTTAACGAGAATCGCGGTCAGAATAGAAAGAGTATAGGCATGTACCATAAAAACACCACTTAAGTAAAGTGTCCCTAACCAAAATATTTTCCCTCTCCAACATTTTCACCGAAGGTTGAGACAGTCGCGGATTCGCAGCACGCGGCGTCGGAGATTTCAATGCACATTAGTTACTCATCCTATAACCAAGCGTACATCTCAGTTATGCGCTACAATCCATGTTTCCTTACATATTTACAATGTTGTCCTTACCTGAATTATAAATTAATTTTAGATTGTTTACTTTAGCGCAGTCGTCTGCAGGATAAACATTTCTCGCATCGCAAAGTTTCCTCTGGTGCACCGCGGTCAATAAGCCTTTAAAATAAGACAACTGCTACAGAACGTGTGAAGTTTGTCCAATGGTTTATGAAGAATCAATTGCTCCATAAAGCATAAATTAGAGTAGTCGGAGGCAGTTTGAGAGGATATCAGTAAATATAATTATTATCATTATGTCCAATTGTAAACAACTCTCCTGTAGGACCGTCGATCTCATGTCAGCTGCTTGTCACCCAGCCAAGCTGGTCCGGCCAAGGTATGATTTATTTACCGTATCCATATGGTAATTATCATGACGTGTCATTGTGTCTGTCACCTCACATATCATACATCATAGCATCATAGCATCATCATGAAGGTTTAGGAGTATTCCAGTGTTGCAGAAGATCACGTGTTATCGAGCGGTGTCCGGCTATGAGTTATGCACGGTGCCGTATCTCTTATCTTGGCTGATAGTCTGGTGATACGTTGCCTTGCCTTAAATCATAGCAGGCGTATCGGCGACCACCACACGACCGGATGTATCCCGACGATTCTTCGTCGACAATTTAGGCCTGGGAAGTATGAGACGAACAGGAGTCAGCACGTAAGAAAGCCATATTGCAGCGCTCAGGCAGCTGATGACTCTGAATGACTCAAAATAAGTAACATCCTTCCAGACCCGACAATTGATATCCAAGACGACCGCTGCTGTCACTCCAGTGTCATGGGCGTATCAAAAGCATCAATTTCGCGGGGCCTTTGATGGACAATTGGCAGATATCTTGCAAATGCCTATACTGCGCGGAGCCCTTTGATGGACAATTGGCGGACATCTTGTATATGGCTATGTTGAGCGGAGGCCTTTGATGGACAATTGGCAGATATCTTGCAAATGCCTATACTGCGCGGAGCACATTGATGGACAATTGGCGGACATCTTGTATATGGCTATGTTGAGCGGAGGCCTTGATGGACAATAATTATTGGCAGATATCTTGCAAATGCCTATACTGCGGGGAGCCCTTTGATGGACAATGGGCAGGTATCTTGCATATGCCTATACTGAGCGGAGCCCTTTGATGGATAATTGGTAGACATCTTGCTAATGCTAATGTTGAGTAGAGGCCTTTGATGGACAATTGTCTATATTACATGCTTATTAACATCTTCTCGCAGCCACGAATCTCATATAACACAATATGATTTTTATAAAACATTCATGCCATTTGAAAAATTGGTATTGGAGCCGAGTCAGAAGTCCACATTCATGCCAAATGTAAGTGTAGTGTTGGGGCCGAGTCAGAAGTCCACATTTATGCCATATTCATGTGTCCATTAAGCAATGCTTGGCAATTCAAGTTTATTCCTGAGCTCATAAGTTATTGAGTGTCAGCGAACAAACACAACATCCATCACCGCCGTCGCCTCGGGAGCCCCGCTCACAGTGACGCTGAAAGCCAGCAAGAGTGATCACTTCTTTTGAACTTAAGTGTATCGAAATTATTTAGCTTCCAATGTATTAGTACTGCATTAGTGCACAAACTATGAAATTTAAATAGCAGTACAGGAGAAATAAAATCTTTTGAACGGAGCATCCAAAAGCGTCGTGCGCTGACGCTGGGGCAATGATATATGAGACCAGTCAATGATGCATGTGATTCAAGATGGTGTGCTATATTAAATGCAACATTTAATGCTACGTGTTATGCAAAATGTCTTGTTATATGTAACTTTATATGTAATGAGTTTTGTAATAATGTTTGTAATACTAGATTAAATGTTATGTTTAAATTATTCAAAACTATAATCATTGATAATATCGATTATCGCGACAAATTAGGAACGAACTAATTAGATATCTTTTTAAATATTGAAGCCATGCATGCATAATATCCAGGGGCCATACTTTCAAAACTGGCTAAGTGAACGTAAGTACTTACGCTCTATTTTCTTGTCTGTGATTGGTGGATTTTGCTTGAAAGGCCGTCAATGATTGGCGGATGAACTTACGATCTCTTAACTTTTTTTGAAAGTATGGGCCCTGGTAGAAAGGTATATAGTTAAGTTAAAGGCAGCGTATCGTGTTGGCACTGCATGTACACAACGCAGCAGCTCCCAAGGCAGAGCAATGATCAAGTGATAGAAAGATAAAGCTTTAGTGATATTCACTTATCCAAATCATTATTTTGTTGCTGAAGCATGGAGATCTTGATGAGACATTGCCTTGCTTCTCAACTCCAGGAGGATGGAGCTATAGCTGTGAGCTCGCCAACAAGTTTATCATATAGAATTAATATGTCGCTCCAGGCGGGTTTAGCGTGAAAAGTCGTTAGTATAATTACATGAAAAAGCTACAAAATGCTAGCTATTTTTTAGAGCACGGCTCAGGAGTATTTGATTTATAGATTAAAAACAAGAAGACGACATTTAGTTGCCAAACAGATATTGTTTGGCACATAACAACACGGGAAGTAGTCTCATTGTGCATATTCTTCGACCTCATATCTGGACGCTAACTGGGTGCAGGTAATTATGAACATCAGCAGGTCACTTATTGCATAACTTCTCCTGTATATGTAACTGTATGTCCATTATATTATCATGCTCTGTGTGACAGCATCACTTGCCTTGTGTACCCACCCACACAAAGCCACCACTCATTGGCCGCGTGTATGTCCATCAGCTCTGTGTGACAGCATCACTTGCCTTGTGTACCCACACAAGCCACCTCTCATTGGCCGCGTGTATGTCCATCAGCTCTGTGTGACAGCATCACTTCCCTTGTGTACCCACACAGGCCAGCGCTCGTTGACGGCCATTGTTTTTGCCTGCGCGAAATTCCAGGAAATTTCTTATTTTTCGGCGCAGGCGACGCGTGTTGAGGAGTCGTTAGGCGGGACGCTTTTGTCCTGGCCTCTTAATTAGCGAGGTGCACAATTGACGCCTCGTGCGCCTCAGCAGCGCGGACACTCCAGGGGGCAGAGGGCCAGCATTGAGGCGCACAATTGACGCCTCATGCGCCTCAGCACAGCTGGCACTGCTTCAGACCAGCCACTGCCACTGCCTCTCAACGAGCGCGTACAATCGCAGCGTCGTCAGGGCAGACAATCCAGCCGCTCACTTCACACTAATGATCTCACTTGGCATCACACCGCTATGGTGACATCACACCGCACTCTCGTTACTAAAACTGCAACGTGCAGGCGCTAGCAGCAAAGCTAACAGCGATGCATCATATGGTATTCCTACCTACAGGCGCCAGCAGCAGAGCTAACAGCGATGCATCATATGGTATTCCTACCTACAGACGCCAGCAGCAGAGCTAACAGCGATGCATCATATGGTATTCCTACGATGCATCACTTCACTGGCAGGAGGCCCCGACGCCCGCGCTCCCGTCGTCCGCGGTGCCCGCGGCGTCCAAAGCTTAGCATCGATCACACTTACGACCCCAGCCCTGCCGCCCCTGCGACCCCAGCGTTGCCGTCCCTGCGACCCAAGCCCTGCCGTCCCTGCGACCCCAGCCCTGCCGTCCCTGCGACCCCAGCCCTGCCGTCCCTGCGACCCCAGCCCTGCCGTCCCTGCGTGCCAGTAACACGGCGGCCAGCAACACGGCGGCCAGTAACACGGCGGCCAGTAACACGGCGGCCAGTAACACGACGGCCAGTAACACGGCGGCCAGCAACACGACGGCCAGTAACACGGCTGCCAGCAACACGGCGGCCAGCAACACGGCGGCCAGTAACACGGCGGCCAGTAACACGGCGGCCAGTAACACGGTCGCCAGGAACACGGCGGCCTGTAACACGGCGGCCAGCAACACGACGGCCAGTAACACGGCTGCCAGCAACACGGCGGCCAGCAACACGGCGGCCAGCAACACGGCGGCCAGTAACACGGTGGCTAGTAACACGGTCGCTAGGAACACGGCGGCCAGTAACACGGCGGCCAGCAACACGGTCGCCAGCAACACGATGGCCAGTAACACGGCGGCCAGCAACACGGCGGCCAGCAACACGGCGGCCAGCAACACGGCGGCCAGTAACACGGTCGCCAGGAACACGGCGGCCTGTAACACGGCGGCCAGCAACACGGCGGCCAGTAACACGGTGGCTAGTAACACGGTCGCCAGGAACACGGCGGCCAGTAACACGGCGGCCAGCAACACGGTCGCCAGCAACACGGCGGCCAGTAACACGGCGGCCAGCAACACGGCGGCCAGTAACACGGCTGCCAGCAACACGGCGGCCAGCAACACGGCGGCCAGTAACACGGCTGCCAACAACACGGTGGCTAGTAACACGGTCGCCAGGAACACGGCTGCCAGCAACACGGCGGCCAGTAACACGGCGGCCAGCAACACGGCGGCCAGCAACACGGCGGCCAGTAACACGGCGGCCTGTAACACGGCGGCCAGGTACACGACGGCCAGCAACACGGCGGCCAGCAACACGGTGGCTAGTAACACGGTCGCCAGCAAAACGGCGGCCAGTAACACGGCCGCCAGCAAAACGGCGGACAGTAACACGGTCGCCAGCAAAACGGCGGCCAATAATACGGTGGCCAGAAATACCGCCGTGTTACGGGCTGAAATGTACTACACCAAATGCCAGTAAACCCAACTTACATTTAGGCCTCAGTTGTACAATTCATCATCATTTGTACAATTCATCTCCTGTTGAAAATGTACATTGCAGCACCAGTTGATATTGTACAATTCAGCACCAGTTGATACTGTACATTTCCCACCAATCTTTCACCTACTCGTTTGGATTACATTCCACGGAAATTTTAGCATTTTTCTAATTATTTATAGTACCTAAAAATAATGACCTACTGGCGCTGGCCGAGAAAGGTAGGTGTAGGAATTATAATGAATGCAAAATAATTAGGATTTAGTAAAATTATTAGAATTATTTTGCTCATATAAACATAGTTGAGATCGTAGAACCTGATGGAGGAACTAAAAAATCAGTATAATTTCTCTCACCAATATATTTTCGTAATATTCACATGCATAAATTTTTTTGGGTTTGTTACACTAAAAAAACAATATTATTCTGGTCCAGAGGTTGTGTGGTCCGCGACTTGATGATAAACTGCGTCAATGATAAATGCTTGCGTCGCCTTGAGTTACCTCGTATCATTGCTACATGCTAGGCTGTATCATCGACACACCATACCCCTCCTACTGACCCTCCTTCCGCCCCCTCCTTCTGCCCCCTCCTTCTGCCCCCTCCTTCTGCCCCCTCCTTTCTGCCCCCTCTTCATCACCCCTCCAACACGTCGTTCCCGTCACTCTCTGAGTTCACACTTCGTTTTCACGTGCAGGACTGACCATTATATGTATTGCAGATATCAGCTCTGTGAGACAATTATGCTCCTTAATAGAGGAAGCCCTTAATAAATTACATCCTTACTAAATGAAGCCTTTAGTAATTAAAGTTGAGGTGCTAGCTCAAGTTATGAACGTGAGGCGAGTGTTCTCTTACAAAGTTGAGGTGTTCGCTAAGCAGCTCCAGCGCTCCAGCAAGTTCCCATCAAGGCGTGTGAGAAAAACCCAAATCTAAACAATAATCTTATAATTTCAAATTTAAATTCGGGAAGATCATTCCATAAAAAATACAGCGTCTGAGCACGACGAGATGGCCGATGGCCCTTCGTTGAAAGCACGAGCGCAGCAACGGCGGCCCGAAGTTTGGCCGCTGCTTTACCAACGATGAACATAAATTATGTAAGGATCATTTATGGCCGATCCAGCGGCGGCCAACCAGCGGCCGATCATTTTACTCCTCAAAACGGCTGAGATTTGGCGGACGATAAACTGCAATCTGAGGTGTTGAGCTGTCGGCCATCGATCACCTGCAACCCCACCTGCCAACTTGGCAACCCCACCTCGGCACCTCCTGCCCGCACGGCAACCCCACCTCCTGCCCGCACAGCAACCCCACCTCCTGCCCTCCCCCCCTGAGACTATTCCCTGCCTAGGATGTTCCCCGAGCTCCATGTCCCTGTACACCAACCAACACCTCGCCGTCCCCCGCCCTCAGTTCCTTGCGACTCGCCCATCCCTGATTTATGAAGCCTGTTTGTAATAATATATTCATCAGCCCAAAGGCCATTGCTGTATTGGTTTAAAATTATGTGAGACTCGCGGCCGGCACGACAGGGTCTTTTTGGACGGTCCACAGCAGAGGACGGCCATATGCACAGCCGTGGCGACAGCGTTAAGTGAAGCAGCGGATTGACTGAATCCTAATTGAATGATACAGGCTGGTTTGTCTGGCAGGAGAGCGATGATGCTTCATACAACAAGAAAATGAATATGAAATAATTTTATGCGATATTATTAGGCATGATACGCTACATTTGGCATCGTCCACAGTAAACTAATGTTCGGCGTTATGCTAGATGCTTAACTATAATATACCTCTTCCAGCGTCGTCCATTGAAATGATGTGCCACTTCGAGCGTCGTCCACAGGAAAGACGTGCCACTTCTAGCATCATACCACGATAATGATATTCATTGAAGCTCATGAATAAGGCGACACGGCTGATATTACACAGTAACGTGAAGCTGGTCTTCCGGTATTGCGTATACTGGATGAGAAATATTAGGTCTGACATAGACTGATCATGTTCAAACGAAGGAGGCTCCACCGCAGTAAATAATAAAATAATAATAGCGGTTTCAGCGTTCAGTAGGCCGTAGGCCTGTCGCCGATTCCTAACATCGCAGAACATTCAGTATTTTGCGGTATAACAACACACTGCTACAATTCTGCTGTGCTTAACCGCCCGGCATTCTTGCCGATTCTGACCAGAAACTGTCGCACAGAGCTCGGATCGAACCCGCGCCTCTCTGCTCCAATCTTGGTACTCTGAACTTTAACCACTGGGCCACCCTGCCCTGCAGTACACGACTGAGCCACCACGCCTGGCACCGCAGTGTATGACGCATGAACGAGTCACCACGTCTGGCACCGCAGTGCATGAACGAGTCACCACGTCAGGCACCGCAGTGCATGAACGAGGCACCACGCCTGGCACCGCAGTGCATGAACGAGGCACCACGTCTGGCACCGCAGTGCATGAACGAGGCACCACGTCAGGCACCGCAGTGCATGAACGAGGCACCACGTCAGGCACCGCAGTGCATGAACGAGGCACCACGTCAGGCACCGCAGTGCATGAACGAGGCACCACATCTGGCACCGCAGTGCATGAACGAGGCACCACGTCTGGCACCGCAGTGCATGAACGAGGCACCACGTCTGGCACTGCTACTGAAGCGCTCTCTTCAGGCGCAACGGCGCCGCAGCGTTCAAATAAACAAAAAATTTTTATCTAACATGGATTACGCATTTACTTAGCGAGAGAATCCATAAGAACCAGCAAAAAGTGTCTGAGTTCTAATCATAATGGCTGTGGAGAGTGTAATACGGTCGTGAATTTTCATAAGAGAAAAATGAAAATAATAATCCATCTAAAGAAACAAGAATTTTTTTTATTTCTCATAGAGAATGTCTGTTAGGGTAACTTCCATAAAAGTGCGTCTTCAAGTTTCAAGTCGGAACAAACCATTGGCTTCAGTGCAGATAGATTTTGAAGTCGAGAAGATCCATGCAAGCAGAGCTGGGCAGCGCTACTTGGAAATGTAGCGGCGCTACCGCTACCGCTACATGCTCTAAAACTAGTTCGGCAGTACACTAACTTCGTTGCGGAGGATAAAAAACAAGACAGTAATTTTCGCCGTTAAATTCATAGACTTTACACTGTGCACATGCGACTTCCACCAACGGCTTCCACTAACTTACTATTCGTATCGACAATTCTCCCCTAACTACGGACGCGTCGTTCTCCAAAGAACCATATTTTCAGTTCTTAAGTCTAACTAATAATTCAGAAAAATACGTTAAGAATAGACGAGCTTAGAAAATTTCAGAATTGCAGAATAACAGAGATAAATAAAGATTCAAATATAAACAAACAATTATTATACGGTATGCCGATCACAACATTTCCCCCCACCAGTGGATACTTATATCCACGCAAAAAAAAAAACGAATTATCACGCTTTGCAGCCTAAGTACATTATTTACAAAAAGGTCTAGCACATTCTGATTACCTAAACATCCTAACACACACAATAATACAGCTATATTTAGAACACACTTTACAGCTATATATACACGCAAGCAGTCCCTATTAATTGCATTGAGTAAAGTTTAACTTTTTTTTTACAAAGCATTCAAACAAATTTTACAAACAAGGACACCTAGCGATATCGGCAGTCGGCTCGAGTTGTTTCAGTATCACTGTATCTGTATCACAGTATCAGTATCTTCAGTTGCAATGCAGACGCCAAGCTGGTAGGTTGTGTGCAGTCATGACGGATTCTGAGCTATTCATGAGCCCGACTTCCTAACCCAGTTTATTGGAGATTACCGCTATTTGCCGTGCATGTGGAAGATTCGTAGCACAGAATATTTGAGCAAATTATACAAAACGATGAAGCATGGGAATATCTCATTCGAATTACGCGAGAAAAAGTTTCCAATGTAGACCTTGACTTTGTTGAGAAAATCAAGAATCCTTAAAATAGTTTTGACAGTCATTTTGACTATCTTCGCGTATGAAATTTAGCAAATTCATATTGACCGAATGTCTGTCGTTTGGACTAGCCATTCATTTGACCACTTACAGCACCAACATTTTGACACGGCAGACTTCGAAAATTTTCGAAGTCTTGGCTCGCGTTGCCAGCCAAGTACGAAGGTGAATGGTGAAATATCGCTGAATCAGAATCGCTAGTCAGAATCAGCTAACCGGACTCCAGAGTCAGATACGCCAGTCGGCTAGTGTATGGGGCGCTTTAGAATGGTCTGAATTTACGTCAAAATTTTTTAGTCACGGAGTCTTCCATTATAGAGTTAAGTGTCGGACTAGCTAAAGTAAATCACTTCTTTGTCCAGAGTGTGCGGACTTTGATAATATCCACAAGCTGCATTTATTCAAACTCTGGATTAATCACGGCAGGCATGGCTAGACCTAATGGCCTCCAGAGGAACAGCTCTGAAGCTTGGGGATTCCAATGCATGCTGGTGACGGTGCATTCGGGAGACCCCAGCAGGGGCTGGGGAGAAGACCCTATCCGACGTTTCCTTGTGGGAACGAGGGCGACAGATGTGGGATTCAGGCGTCACAGATGGACTCCCGCTAGTTGCCTGCTCCCCTGAGCTGCCGCCTGTTAGCTACAAGAAATTCTATTTACTTACGCTAATAAGGGACGTGTGGTGTCAATCGGGACAGTCCTCTGCCACGGCGTAAAATTGTTCTAGCAGCGAAACTAGTTGAAATGCTGCAAAACTTAACCTAGTGGCGTGAAGTAAAGGAGATGGATAGTTAAAAACAATCGTTACTTTACAGGCAACTTGTAAGCTGCTGAAACGCACAAAGAAAACTACCTATCGGACACTAAAACACTACTATTAATTAAGTTACGAATAACAGGAACACACGCTGACCCTCAGCTTACATTTTAAACCATTTTATAAGACGAAAAGAGTAACGTTTGAGTACTATTTAAACTTACACAGCAGTGCCTTAGGCAGTACGGAGCAAGTTCGCTCAGCTAATTAACTATCGGACTAAAAGGTACGACAACGTACAACAGACTGCACCGACCACCTAAACTTCTGGTTGAACATGACAGAAAGACGGGCGTAAGATATTGACGGGAGTGTGATATATAGGCAATATTTTTTTTACGCATTCAAATGTGGTGATAAAATTATAGGATTGACTTTTAATATTTACCTTAGTCTTGCTAGGACCACATAATCTTTACCGCAGAAATGAGCTTAAATTTATTTTCATTCCCGCGTTTAAATATTCTACCGTCAATGCCAAAATTTTCGTCACATCACAGTCTTGCAAGTACCACGTCATCTCTCTGCCGCGTAAATGAGTTAGAATTAATTTTCCGCGTATAAGTATTCTATCGTCGATGCAAAAATTTAGCTACATCACTTGTGTCGCCGGCCACTTCACTATCTATTTTGTTAGCAAAACCGAGCCAAAACTCTCTAACGCGATCGAAAAGCTGTATAGTTGTTATAGGTGGCAATCGAATCCTAAATATCATCGTTCTGACCAGTATTATACGATTATATTTACAATCGGCGAGTAACGTGTAATTCGCTTCAGGCTGCCTGGCGGCTTATGTAGCACTGACGGTAATTCAGATCGTACACGTGGTGAAATTGGTGTATTTTTGCTGCCTAAAAGCCTTGAGGGTAAATACATATACCGCAAATGGTTAGAACTACATTAGATTTAAAAATTCAATTGCTGATTAATTTGAAATTAGACCTTTTTCTCTTGGCTTCATCTGGCAACCCTGGACTAGCTAGATTGAAGCAGCGTTCCCAGATGGTATATTTCTATACCAGATTTCCCAAATCTGGTATTTTCAGAAGGTGTCTGCTATAAATATTCTAGATCTGGTATATTTGCCTAAATCTGGTATTTACTGACTTTCTGCAAATTTACTGAATTGAGTTCCACCTCTGAAGTTTGAACTTGAGTGCTTAGTGCAATATAAGCACGAGAGTGATGATCTTTGATTGATTACTGATCAGTGATGATATGGCCTAGGACGAGTGAGGTTGTCAAACTGATCTCGAGACGCAAGCTCAACCATTTTTGTTTGGTGGTTTTGAATTCTAGAATGCCACATATTGGAGTACCACTTGAATTCTGGGGTGCCATTCATTATTTCACTGATCTTGAAAATCATCATCCATTCATGGAGCTGGCTGCCTACTGCATCACTTGTCTACTTTGACCTGTCTCCAATGCAGGGTTGGCGATTTTTTTGATTTTTTTTTAAAAAATCAAAAATCAATGATTTTTTTGATTTTTTCATGATTTTTTTGATTTATTTGATTTTTTTGATTTTTTCAGCTTTTTGTCTTTTTTGAGGTGTTATTTTTTATGTTGCAATTAGCCTACTAACAATAACAGTATATGGATCATAATGGATGGCTAAAAAGGGCACTTATTGCCTCCAATGCTGGCCAACAGGCCAAGGTGGTGTTTACCACTTAGGGATTTTCGGGTAAACAATTATTGATAAGTCTATTCATTAGCTTTGTAAAGTTTGTATGGAGCAAGGTAATGAGCTAAATATTGACCATTTAACTGGCTTCAATATACAAAAACACTTCAGGAATGCAGATCTCCTAAACATTGAAGAGTCACATAACAGATAGGTAGCTGATTGCGCAGTGCACAGCACTATCAATAGATCTACTAGTTTTATGTCCTATAAATCTACCAGACTCTATCCGACTAGTAGTGACTGAGTGACTGACTGCACTGTTCCCATTTAATTCAGACCAATAAACCAATACTAAACATAAACTGAACGATAACTAAACCAACCTCATACGACTTGAAATGAGACTTAAGTTATGAGAAAAGCTAACACTGTTTGAAATAAACATGTGCACAATTCTAATATTTTAAATCCATTCACTGCATTTAATTATCTTATAATTGTAATTGTTTTGTTTCTAGTTTTAAATTCACATATTTAAAGATTGAAATTAAATATTTTAATTAGAATACTCATATTAGGGTGGAAAATCTTTCTAATTGCTTAAAAGGTCAATACAATCTCAACCTCTCAATATACAGGGTGGGGCAGAACCGATTGAGCAGTTTTGAGGTAAAATAAAAGAGTAAAGGAGGTACATAAAGAAAAAAGTTTATTTTCCTAGAGGTTAGCATAACATGATAACATACCATTTAGAATACTTATGTTTTGAAAACAATATCTGGAAGATGGGGGCTGTTAGCTGCAACACACTGTTGGAGTCGTTCTCAGAGGAGGGAGTAACCATGACAGTGAATTCCGATCGCTATGCTGCAATGTTGCAAAATTTCTTGCAGCCCATGATGGAAAACATTGTTGAAAATGTAGCATTGAGAGACGTGTGGTTCCAGCAGGATGGGGCTACAGCTCACACAGCTCGAATGTCACTCAATGTTTTGAAACGCATGTTTCCCGTAGGTCTGGTGTCTCTGAGGGGTGATTTACAGTGGCCTGCGAGGTCACCTGATTTGAGCATTTGCAATTTCTTTCTTTGGGGACATCTAAAAGAAAGGGGTTCAGAAGTCACTCTCACACCCTATCACAGCTAAGGGAACAGATTATTGCAGCAGAGGTTATGGCCATACGACCCATACCTCGCCATATGTGTGAACGTGCTGTTGGAAACTTCCGAGAACGACTCCCAACAGTGTGATGCAGCTAGAAAACCCCATCTTCCTGATATTGTTTTCAAAACATAAGTATTTTATATGGTATGTTATGCTAATTATGAGGAAAATAAACTTTCTTCTTTATGTACCTCCATTACTCTTTTATTTTGCCTCAAAACTGTTCAATCAGTTCTGCCCCACCCTGTATAAGCTAGCTAACACATTTAAATTGTATATTGTAATCAATATATAACAAATAGTCAAATAGTTAAAGACTACTTATAGCCTTATAAGAATTAGCTAAGCTGCTAGCTACAGACAATGTATTGCACACTTGATGCCTCTGTACCAAAAACATTCCATTTATTGGAACCTAATACACACTAAAGGCAACAAGTTTATATACCAAATTGTCATTCATAGTACATTTATACTAAACCATGAATAACAATACCTCAATATAAATTAAAGACTGCCACTCAATATTTTTAAATATATGAAAAAATCAAAAAAATCGAAAAAATCAAAAAAATCATGATTTTTTTATAAAAAAATCAAGTGATTTAATCATTTTGATTAAATCATTGCCAACCCTGCTCCAATGCATTCGTGGAGTGAGTGTTTTCACAAGTTACCTATGTGGAAAACAAGCAACGACATAAAATTTCAACTAAGGTACTGGAGTTCCTTATTCGAATCAAAAGCTATCTGCTCAACCGCATCAAGTGATCACAGCCGAGATGTTAGGTAAATGCAATATGCAAGCATGTACGAAAATAAGCAAAAGGAATATAAGATGACCTGTTTCCGTAGCTTGCTCATGTTGAGTGAAGGGGAAGGAGATAAAGCGAAAGAAGTGATAAAAAAAGTGATGAGAAGTGATAAAAAAAGGAAAAAGTGGCAATGTAATCAGGAAGTGGAAACACAGGAAAAGAAGTGTCAATATGTTCCAAACAGAGGGAAAAAATGTAACGTGTTCAAAAATGTTCGTGTTTGGCTAATTATCGTCAAGCCAGATAAATGCACACAACATAAGATGAATTTTTTTTTCTTTTCCTAACCAACGTTTCTGACGAATAGTTTCATTAAAATTGGAGGTATTAGTCTGTTTTTTTTTTTTTTTTTTTTTTTTTTGAACAATAGAATTTCTGGTATTTTGAGCTAGGCAATCTGGTATTCTCGCCAAGAATAAACCTGGCAACACTGGATTGAACTCAGTGAACTGGTGAGTGGTGATTGGTGAAGTGAAGTTTGAACAGTCGCTTGCCAGGCGCCTTAGCAGAAGGAGCTGTTCACCTCGGTTCCAGTTGAATCAGATTGTCTGGAGCCATTTAGATGCCCAGCGTGGAGCGAAGATAATCACAAAGTACTTATAGGCATTTCCGCTGTAACGTATCGACTCTCGTGTTTTGACTTTAGACTAGCTTTGCGTTCCACAGCACTCTAAAAACCACGCCTTGCGTGTGCAGAAGCTTCTACACGATTCGATTGATTATCAGCTTGCAATTCTACCGACGGTTCTTCAACCAGGCACCTGCGTGCCGCTAGCACTTTAACCGCATCTCCGAGAATCGCCATTATGCCCCGTCTGCATCTCGTTCAAACTACGATTGCTTCAGTCACCATTGAGCCAGGAAGACGAGAGGTTGTACGTCGCTCTATGAACGTAAGTACAAACATTTGGTGTTATAAAATCCGTGGGACAAATGTGGTACATGATGTGGACAGTAAAAGCTGTGTTCATTTTGTGCATCGTGCGCTACATGGGGTCACGATCCCCGTGCACCAATAGAGGTGCACGATGTGGAGAGTAATTGTAGCTACTATCCGTAGCAACGTGCGCCATATGTGACCACGACCGCTGCATGTTATTTGTAAAATTTCTCGTGAGATCCTTCAAGTATTCATTATATATTGTTGATTATTGGATACACTTAGTGTTTGCTATATAATGAATTATGTAATATCCTCATTTCAGGCTCATGGATCCATCTCGATTTTACCGGAAAGGCGCAGGTTCTGAAAACGCTGAACATGATGCTGATGAAAATGGAGCAGATAGTCCTGATTCGGGAGATTCTGCTGATTCTTCCTCCGATACCTGAAATGATTTTTCACCAACTTATGATCTAAGTAAATCAGAAAGTAGTTCTGATAACAATTCAAGTAATAATGACGTTTCAGATGATGATGCCAGCTCAGCATGTGATGACAACGCAGGCAATGAATGGAATTCAACCGTAGCTTCAGCGAGATCATTCTCCTTCACAGGAAATGAACAACTATTAGTATAACCTGTACCTTCTGAAGCAGATGGAACTGTTTCACCTATTGATGCCTTCAAATTGTTTGTAACTGACGATGTTATATCGCATATTGTTCAGGAAACAAATAGATATGCAGAGCAAGTTCTTGAAAGTCAAAGAGTGACTAGGAAGTCACTTCTATCAGAGTGGAAACCGACAAATAATGAAGAAATAAGAAGGTTTCTTGGCATCATGATCTCTATGGGCCTTGTCAACATGCCAAGTATGGAATGCTATTAGAAAACTTGCCATTGAATTGCTGTTAGGAACTTCAATTGTGAATGCTTGGGTTATTTATAACCAATTTTGTCTCCCGCAGCGACGAAGAAAAACGTCAATTCTGAAATTCAAAGAGAGTCTTGCAATGTCACTCATTTGCGGAATCGCTAAAGAGAATCTGAACCCAGGTCCAGGAAGATCAAACATCTCAGGAAAGCACAAATCTCATGAACTGGTTGAGGCTGATGGGCCTAAAAGCAAGAAGAGGAAGAGATGTCTGTCTTGCTACAGCCAAATTGCCAATGCGGAAGGAACTAAAGTAGCCCGTTCAAAAACTCGCAAGATAAACACTTATTGCGACACCTGCGAAATAAACCATACCTGTGCGTATCATGCTTCAATCTGAAGCATTCCATTTCGTCATAGAGCGCCTAAGGACCCAAGTTCAACGAAGAATGATTAATAATGTTTACTCGCTACACACAAAATATATGCTTAGTATACATTATCGTCATCATTATCCTTTACTTATAACACCTAAAATTTGATTGAGGAGGTTAATATTGAAGTTTAATCAATTATTATAAATTTAAGGGTGTGCACCATATGTGGGTCACGATGCAGGTTGAGACAGACATGCGTGACCCACATATGGGTCACGATGCGGTTAAAGTGCTAGGCAGTATCTATGGTTAGGGGAGGCGCAAGGGCTAACGTCTGGGAGGTACCGTCTCGCGAACCATCATGACTAATAATCTACGTTCCTTCATGGTGAAAGAATTGTCAGGATTTTTTCTCTGCCTCCAGCTGATGGTTTGCGTTTAGTCGAGTATTGAAAGGCAAACATGAACTTGGGGGGGGACTTCTTTAAGTAGGCATATTCGGTTGGTAAATTGTTCCAGAGTTATTTCTGTCGAATGCTGAAACGTTTTATTCAAGATGTACCGCTTCTGGTACAAGTTGCCAACCAATTCTAAAGGAACTACCAGCTGGTAATTCCAGTGCTTAGAATCGTGAATGCTCACGTATCAAAGTTTTCGGTGAGAACTTAAGGCCAATCTCCGAAATTGTTAGTTTTTTCTGTGCAATTTGAAGATTTTTGGCTAATAAGCAGAGCCAAGCTTGGCAGTAGTAAAGTTGCCAATTTTATCAACACGTTTTGGCATACTTGAATTTTTTCGGGGATACGAGGGAAATTTTCTAATTTTTTTATTCAGCAGAGAAAACATTGTTTTCTCCTACCTTGGCAATATTTAAACATGAACAGGGACACGGCAGACAAGAGCATAGCACAGTTATTTCGGCGCTGAAGAAAAGGCTTTATGTGGCCTGTCGCCGATTCTTGAACTTTTCGAGACTTCATCACAGGAGATCTTGAAATAGGTTACACGTGACTGGAACTTTTCAGAACTAAGCTGAAGCTACTAAACATCCATCTGGTTCGATATATTGCTAGGCATTTCAAGTCTGAACATATGTTTTTCCATAGCTTTATCTAGTCTGTTCCTGAACGCTTTTATACTCGGAGCGTCAACGATGTAAGCCGGGAGGCTGTTCCACATGTCGGTGACTCGAAGCGAGAAGGCTACGCCGCGTGGATGTATTGCAACGTAGTTTTTTTTTAGTTTATAGCCGTGGCCCCTGGAGTTGATTCTCGTTTAAAATTCTAGTAATCCTGGCCGGGTTCTGGGACCTTTTAGAGACGAGTATACATGTATACTTAAATGAGGTCACCATGCAGTCGTAGAAAACAGAGGCTTGGAAGCTTCATAATCTTTAATCTTTCTTCGTACGGCTTTCCCTTCAAACCTGGAATCAGATTCGCTATCGCCGAATTAGATTCGCTAGTCAGAATCAGCAAACCGGACTCCAGAGTCAGATACGCTAGTCACTAGTGTATGGGGCGCTTTTGAATGGTCTGAATTCACGTCAAAATTTAATCAGCCACGGGGAGTCTTCCATTACGGAGTTAACAGTGATGTGCTAGCTAAAGTAAATCACTCCTTTGTCCAGAGTGCGCGGACATCAAGACACTTTTGGGTATAGTGTGTTCCGTTAATCCTGCCTATAAACTCGACGTTCCAACTGCCTATTATGTCACGACTAGGTTTGGAAGCGTCGAGAGCAGCTGGGCTGAAGAGTACCAGTGATGTTGCTCATTTCACTCGAAATAAATCTACAGAAAACAAGAACGGTTGCACCATCCGATAAGTTCCTGAGAGTGTGTGCGACAGTGAGACCATCGGCGATATAGTTCTTCAGACGGTTCAACCTATTCCGGTAAAGAATCTTCTAAAATTTTGAGCTCGACTGACGAAAATGAAGGTATCATAGGCGATTCCGTTAAAATTTCTAACTTCATTAGCGGTGACTGCAATGATTATTTTTCTGTTCCCAATAGTCTTTCAACTTCCAACGCTCCTGGAAGCACTAATGGCAGTTGTTCCAGGCAACACAACAAAGGAGTCCTTTCGACATTGAAAGGCAAAACATGGAGAACGAACTTCGAGAATTTGAAGCCAAAGTATTTAATTACGAGCGAGCACGTTTGTACCTCGGAGACGATTTATGCGCACTAGATGTGAAAGAAAATTTACCACTGTTGAATACTGGTAAAGAGAAGAAAATAATCACATTGAAGGAGGATAGCAAACATGACCGGCAAACAACGGTTGCCGTGCATTCTGAACAGGTGTTATCCAGTCGTCTCTTGTGTATCGACCATCGGAGCGGGTGTCGGCGGGAGCTGTATTTGTGCTATCTCTGTAACTGCGCTTTTACATCTGCTACTGACCTGCACCGTCATGTCGATCTGGATCACTTGACGCACTACACGTGCTCTCTCTGTGGTTTTACGAAAAGTTTGTAGGCTAGTTACTAGATTGCTTTCTGAAAATTGTGAAGGCCTTGGTATGCCGTACAAAAGTGGGTCGCCACTTATGCGAATACCCACGGGCAGGCAATACATCAGCACACCAAAATATTAGGCATTTTGGTGTTCGACGTAGTGGCTTCGATTGTCTGTCTTGTATAGACAGTTTGGAAATTGGGGATAACACCTATACTTCATTTCGGGCGAATTAGATTTTGTCCTAACTATGGTATCAGACGCGGCCAGGAGTCGCGGGACGCGGGCTGACCCTTCTTGGGCCCACGGGGCGCGGCCAACCGCCGACCGCGCCCTCCTTGGCCTCGATACTTCTTGAAGCCTCGAGGAGGCGGGCGGACTACAAACTGCGAGTAAGAAACATGAATCTGAATTATTTGGCGCGGTTTGATAGTGATATACAAATTAGATACAGTTCTTAACCACTATACAGTGGGGGGAAATAAATATTCGTACACTTGAAAAATCGTATTTTAATGTATGTAAGTACACAAACTTAACAGGAAAAGTGATTTAAATTATGTATGGAGACGCATAGTATTCAAAAATACTATCAAAAGAAATTAAATCTCAATGCAATAAAAAACAATGCAACATGTTCACTTTTCGGGTGAAAAAAGTATTCGTACAAAACAATAAATCCGCATTATTTTAATTTAATACTTGGTTGAATACCCTTTATTCAGCTCAACAGATACCAGTCTATTTCTATACGTCTCGACCAATGATTTGCAGATGCTGACTGGTATTATATACCATTCTTCTTGGCACATCACCTTAAGATTCTCAATGTTTGTTGGGGACCTTTTCATAATTTGAATCTTCAAATACCGCCACAAATTTTCAATCGGATTTAAGTCCGGCGACTGGCTTGGCCATTCCATAACGTGTACATTTCTATCAGCGAACCATTTCTTTGTGGATCTTGCAGTATGCTTTTTCTTGGGGTGCGTGATTTTAATTCGTTTCTGTGAAGTTCATTGCTTATCGTTTGTTTGGTTACTTGAATTCCTGAGGCACTCAGGTAACTTTGCAACTCTCCTCGAGTAATCTGTGGATTTTCCTGTATTTTTCGTCCCAATAATCTAGCAGATCGTGCAGAAATCTTCTTAGGAGCACCTGATCGTCTTTGGTTTTCAACGCTGTCACGGGTCTTGAAGGGTCCAATGAACGAAGCAACTGTACTAAAAGGAACATTAGAGTGGCTAGCAATCTTCCTATAACTTTCTCCTTCCTTCCAACGCGATAGAATTAGTTGTTTTTGGGAACTTGTTAATTCTTTACCTTTAGCCATTTTTGAGACCTTCTTGTACTACGGGCAGTTGCAGAATGATCTGGTAGTTGCAAAATACGTTAACTATGGTTACTGATTACATTACTGGAACGTGCTACATGTTTCTAGTACATTCTGGAATGTTCTGGTGTGAAATATTGTCAAAAGTTGTTTTGTACGAATACTTTTTTGACCCGAAGAAGTTAACATGTTGCATTAATTTTTGTTGCATTGAGATTTAATTTCTATTTGTGTTGTTTTTGAATACAATGCGCCTCTATACCTAATATAAATCACTTCTCCTGTTCAGTTTGTGTACTTACATACATTAAAATACGATTTTTCAAGTGTACGAATATTTATTTTCCCCCACTGTATACATATACATATATACAAGGACAGAGATACTGTATTATTTTA